ATTAATTTAAAATAATTTAATTATGTTAAAAATAATGTTATATGTACTTTAGTAGTAATTTAGAAGTAATTTATATTTAACTCAAAATTTTCATACTTCTTATCTTAACAAGTATTACAAATTCTAATGGATTAAAGCATATAAGTAGTCAATTTTTATTAGAAAATATATTTTAAACACAATATTGAAGTTATTTTGGCCAAATAAGTTTGTAATAGGCTTATTTAAGAGCCATTATCTTTTACCTTGGATTTTGATCTTTAGATTGAATGAAGTTGTGAGTGTAATGAGGCATGGATAAGATAATTGTATTATTGTCATGTAGAAGTAGGTAATCGGGACCATTTTTGAGAAGTATCTAGAAGTTTTAGAATTAAAGTTAGGTTGGTGGTCCATGTGAGGCCCATCATAGAACATCCTAGAAAAATTAGTGGCGGTTACCAAGATGGATTCTATCTCTAGAATCTACTAGAAAGGAGGTTATCTTGGTAGAGCCCACTTTTATAGATATTCTAGAAAGTTCCAAGATGGTTGGACAAAGTATAAATAAGATTGACCGAGGCCATTTAGACATTCAATCAAGTATGGCTTTAGTTTCTTTCTTTCAATAAAGTTTGATTTACATTAATTATTATTTTTTAAGTATTTTAAAATAGTGTATTGATATTTTTTAAATTTAGATATATATATTTTTTTAAATATGTAACATGGAAATTTGTTACTTGGACATTTATTATATAAGATTTTGCAATCCAATAGGGAAGTTTTGTTTTAAATAATTTTATATTTTTTCTTGATTTTGTATCCTTTAAGTGTATAATTTCTTAGTAGTTACTATCAAATTATTAAAAAAATCTAATATATATTTAATAAAATAAAATAATAAATGATAATTTTACTTATATTAATATTTTTAATAATTTTTTTATAGATATTATTATAAATATTAATTAATTATTTTATTATTTTATTATATAGATGTATTTAGTCAAAGTGTAAACATTAGAAATTCAAGAGATATATAGATTAATAAATTTTTATTATAAGATTTAATTAAAATGCAGCAATTTGTAATAAGAAAAGGAACATATATATATATATATATATATATATATATAGAATTGGCATCTTCATTTAGTTAAGAGGCACAAGTCCATACTAGTAAGAAACATAGTTTTGTTCATCTAAAAGGTTTTAGAATCATCTCTCTAAAAGATAAGATGTGTTCTATGTATTGAAGTTTTAAACCAAGTGTTTTAGTACATGCAATAATGTATTAGATAAAGAATTACTTAAAAATTGGAAAATAATAATAATAGAAGAAATTTTATCATTCAAAGCTTTATATAATAATGAATTGAAGTAACAACAAGATCAATCTCCTTCATATTAATAAATAATAATTATAGACCTTAAATAATCAAATTTTGTTATATAGAAGGAGTTATAAAGTTAATAACTCTTGTTTCAAAAGATCAAAAGTTGAAAAGAATATAAAAATATTTAAATATATGGAATTTTGATATTTTGGTATTTTTGGTGTATTTTTTATTCTTTTATTTTATATTGGTTTAACAGAATCATAGTCATATTATATATTTATAACAAATATTAAGATTCAATCTATCTAATTATATATATATATATATATATATATATAATTTTGTCTTCATGCTATTAAGTTAAAGCTTAGATCAAAATAAATATAATAATTTTGCTTCACCACTATCTTTAGTTTAACAATTCATTTATTTTTATTGCTCAAGAGTTAAATTAAATTTTCTTTAAATGATTAGATAATATTTTGCCTATTTCATTGTCCAAAACTTTTAGTCTTTGTCTAATTTTTTTATTCTTATTTTTAAAATTATCAAAGAATATTATTTTTTAGATTTTGATAAAGACTTTACTTTAAAAAAGTAAAAACTGGAATATTTTTTATATTTATTGAAATAGGTACATTGTTTTTACTATTGAGTTTTTTTATTCATATTTTCTTAAAACTAGCATTGTATTTAACTACTAAGAATCATTGATTGTCTAAATTTTTTAATAATAAGTTGATAGACAAGAAAATATCAAATAAATCAATATAAATTATTTTTTTTATAGAATACAAACATAAATTTCTTTAATCATCTTTTTATTTTAAATTTAATTCAATTATTATCAACATAAAAAATAAAAAGAATTTGAAAAATTATAAATATTTAATATATAAATATTTAATATTATTTACTACCAAAATAAAATAAAAATATAGCAATTATCAAAAAAATTAAATTAAAAATTAATTAACACTTTTACTACTAAATTAAATCAAATTTCTGAAATCATTGTATGTATTCACAAAAGTTTGACATTTTTTATTTTTATAAATTTTACAATAATTTTTATTTAATTTGAATATTTTATTTCAATTTATATATTAAAAATATAATTTAGAAACTTATATATATATATATATATATATGTAAAGAAAAAGAAAAACTATGGTTTTTAAAACCACAAACTTACTTGTGTACTTCTATTTATTTAAGTAACTTAGGCATTTTTGCATACACAAACAAGCCAAGCATGGAATTAAAGTTTGAAAATGATATTTTTGATTTAGTATTTGAATTAGACAAAACAAATTGGTGTACTACATGCAATGAATATAATCATTCAGAACTATGGTATTACTAATAATAAAAAAAATAATAATAATAATAAATCATGTATTTTTAAACTTAAATTTGTTGATATTGTGCTTATTAAAAAAATATGTAATTTTTTTAGTAATTTATTTAATAATCTAAAAAATATTTTTTCTTTTAGAATCAAAATTCATGTTCTTATTATGAATGGCACAACATTATTGTTGAATAATTTGATAATAGAAAATTTAAATTAATCTATTAACTCATCAAAAGAAAACTATTAAATAGAAGGAAAAAAAAATCAATGTAATCAAAAGATCTAATAATTAAGGCTTTTAATTTTTTTTACATATTCAATTTTAGTTATCAAGTAATTTTTTAAAAAATATTAAAATTTAATACTTTATTAATCACCTTACTTTTTTTTTAATCAAAAGATACAAAAATCTCTTAATAGTATATATATACACTATATATTATAACACATCAAATTTTAATTTTTTTTAATTTTTTTTTTTTTTTTAATAAAATCATGACTATGATAACATTATCAATTATTCAAATCATGTGTATATCATTTAGTCAAGCTTTCAAAAATTAAAAACTATTTCAGTTTATCGAAATTCATCTTTTTTCAAACTAATCAATAATAGATTGACCGAAGAAATTAATCCAAAATTCAACACTGACTGTTTTGCCTTACAATATTAGTTTCTAAAAACAGTTATTCGTGAATCCATGATATCAACTCCTATTTTTGGTATTGAATGTGATGTTAATAAAAAAACGTTGAATCATCTTGTAAGATTTTAATATAATACACCGAAAATTTTAAACGAACACAAGAGCATGCTTTACCAACTCGACAATGATTCAGAAATAAGACACTCGCAAAATACTAAAAGATCACATAATCTAGTATTTGTTCCCAAGACACATAAAACTTGATGTCGACAACACCAATTGACAGTGCTCAATCACACATTCACACACAAACACACACAAATATGAATGTGTGTCTGTAATCAACGGAGTTATTCTTCGCTTCTTCCACTTCCATTAGGACAACCTGCAGATTGGAGCTTGGAAATGCTTTCTGTGGACTTTCAGTTGCAGACACGATGTTTTAAAAGCTGTCGTTGGAGGACCCAACTGAGTAAATGTATACTACCACAGCCAGACCCGCTCTGTAGTCGTGAATTAGGTCTACTGAGTGAAGTTCGAAATGCTTGGATTTTGTGTCTACCGGTGGTTCGACGTTTGGGCAATGACACACTGGGTTTTCTTAGATTGCTTGTTTTGCATAATGGACGTCCGTTTTATTTTCTTACTTATAAACGGAATGAAGTGGATGTTCTGGAACGAAGTGGTTCTGTTTCTTATCCAATGGTGCCATGACGTTGAGGCAAAATGTGAATTAAGTAATGTGAAACCATAATGTGTCAGATCTGATTAGTATTATCATGTCAATGCAGACTGGTCTTAAGTTGGATACCCATGTATACAGCTTTCAGCACAGTTCTGCTACAACAGGTTAATGGTGTTCTTGGGGTTAGTGGATAAAACCTTCATAGTTTTCTGAACCTTCTTAGATACATGTAAATAAATTACATGTTATTGAATATGCCATTTACTCTTCTGAAGACCTGTTTTTTAAGCTGATTGAGATTGAACAGGCAACTATTTCAGGCCAGTATATCAACCAAGCATGATCTCACCAGGTAGAATCACCATAATTTGATATAACTGGATGGTGCAGTTCTCAGCTGAAGTGAAGTGGGAAGTCGGCAATTCTTTCAAGAGCATCATAAATGCTTTTAAACACCAAAAATGTCTTCATTTTTATGTAATTAGTGATGTCCCTGATGTGAGCGATGATGCTAATGTTCTCCCTTGCCCATCAGTGAAGATCAATCTTGAATAAGTGTGCAGAAGTTCAGACATTTCATAGAAAACTATCCAATTTCTCAGCAACTATTTCATGTAGTTCATTTATTATTCAACCTTGGTGCGTCAGTTTAGAATCCCAGGGCACCTGTGCGTGCTAATCCACTGAGGCAGAATCGTTTGATTTGTCGGAGGATAAATAACCACACATCATATGCTGGTGCATCGCACGGGAACAATGCTGGTAAGATGGAACATGTCAAGAAAGCCTGAGATGTTGGCTTTGACTGATAAATTATATCGGAATACGTACGATATGCTGTTTGCGTTGCCACCCCCATATTATTTCGAGATTCTTCCACAGTGACAGTATTCCAACATTTCACTGTATGACAGTAAAAGAAGGTGAAATCAAATACGTAACCTTATATCGATCTGTAAAGACTCATCGCCATGTGTTGAGAAAAAGTATACGTCAAAATCAGATAGATTTCATTCCCTTTCTCACATTCTGGACGAGCACCTCCGAGTTGAACAAGTGCTCTGCACTTTGAACGGAGTTGCCACAATCAACACGTATTAAGTATCGTGCTGTAGCACGATGGCTCAGTGATGAGCCTCATTCGGCATTAGAACCAGAGAAACTTTACCCACACGCACTCGACGTACAGACCTTGTAACATTGGGACAAAATTTTAGTACAAGTCTACTTCTATTTCTATTCTTACAGGTCTGCACAACAACGCCTCTCTGCACATCCCCGGCCTAGACCGAGTTCGAACTGATACAACTCTCCATCTCTCTTAACTAAGAACGTCTCCGCCAAGCGGTCAGTTGGAAAACTCTGAAGGGTGCCCGCAACTCAGGGACTACACCCACATCTAAAAGTACAGCTATAATGTAAATGATCTCCCGACTTCTGTAGTGTACAAGATAATTCACGGCGGCAAGTCTCTCAGAATTTCAATGTCGAACTGAAAATAGGAAATGAATCCAACTGAAGAGGCAAAAAATCGAGTGGGCGGAGCAACAATACAGTCAGCAATCAATCGGGATTGCGCTAGCCCTTCATATCGTTTGTCGAAGCTCTGTCACCACGATTGCGTCGATCATGGAGTAGCGTTCGCGTCCGGACGGAAGGAAACGGTAGCCAAGAGTCGGACTTCCTTGGCGGACGGTCTGTTCGACTTAGTAAACTTGATCGGTGCCTTTCGCTCGCACCAAGTGCCCCATGCCATGTCATACGATACAACACACCCTTGTGCCGAATCACTCACCACAACGATATCATTCCCACTCACTGCGCATGCGCCCCACGGTCGGACTCGCCGGTGCATGACCTCAGGCATGGACGCAATGAGCTCCCAGTGCTTGGTGACGGCGTTGAGCGCGTAGAAGCAACCCACGGGCCCATCATCATCGACAGGTGCCACTGCCATGACGATCCGCCCCCCGCAGACGAGCGGTGTCTGGCGCGCGCTATCGTCCGGGAATTCGTTCGCAACTTCTGACCACACGCCGCGATGGATATCAAACGCTACGAGCGCGTCAGTACCCACGAGGTTATCCTCCGCCTGCACGTAAACCTTCTGCGCGGTGCAGTAGAGGAGGCCGTTGTCAAGCGCAGCGTCTTGTGTGTCGAGGCGCATTCCTGCGGGGAGGCTCCCTGTGACGACCCACTTGTTCGTAACGGAGTCGTATACTTCCGTGGCTTGGAGTTTTCTGATGGAGTATGCCTCGGTCCCCGCTAGAATGATCGTGTAGGAACCCTGGACATCGTCCGTGACCATGTGCAAGACATTCGGCCACGACCATTTCTGATTTGTTCGCGGCAATTCTCGTTGCTGTCCCGTGATAGGATTGCACACTAGAACAGTCCCTGGTTTGTAAATTGCGAGCAGACCTCCTGAGCCCGTTATAACGCACTTGCCAGGACAGGTGGGAATGGAGATGCGGGGCATGTCTTGCCATTTGTTGGTATCTGTACAAAAACCGGACCAGTGTAGGGCGCCGCTCTCACGCTGGCTGTAGCGGACGAGGCAGTACGATGGCCACGGAGTGACGATGGAGGAGGCTCGTGTGAGGCGGAGGAGAGGGCTCTGAGCAATCATGCGCCATTTTTTGCAAATTGTAGCGCAGCGGAATAGGTTTGGGAAAGGGAGTAGGGCAAAAATGCGCTCCAGCACCTCTTCTGGCAAGTTCTTCCAGATTGTAGCGTCCAAGTCGCCGTCACGCATCCACGCAAGCTTCTGCGTTGCACTCGTTGCTGATACTACAACCTGAACTGGTCTGCACGTTGCGAAAAGGGTACATTCAGTTAGGTTACGGCGAACACTGCCACCACTTCCGCACCGAAACCGCATCTGTTCAATGTAACGATTGTCCAAAAACTTCCAAGGTGACATTTGTACAAAACATCGAGGGATGGTATCTATACGAACGGAAGAACAACTTAAGACTTCAACTGGCATGATTGCAACGAAGCGCAAGCTATCAAAGACTTCTCTCTCACCCTCGGATACACCAATCCTGAGTCCTTCAACTGCAGCTCTGCACTGCTTCAGGTGTGCTACCCACATGCCTGAGCCAAGCAGAAGTTGGACATCTCTGAGAGCAAAGATAGGCGCGATTATATAAACGTTTAACTGAGAAGGGTGCATGAAAGTAATCAATGATCAGCCTGATTGCTGTCAAAAATACAGCAAAGAAAGCATAAGGACGATAAGAAAGGGAATCTCTCTCACTATCTATCTCTCTCATATCAAGTACTTGCGAGGCTTGAGAGCGACGCGATGGTTGATACCACCAGAGTGAGCTACTAAGTTACTGTACAATGTGAAGGAGTATTCATTTGCTCATCAACTATGGATAACATCGCCTTCCGCTCTCAGTCTGCCTTTCTGAAGGCACTAGCACTCGAGCTCCAAAGACAGAACGTACACGTACAAAATTCCTCCTGGACCCAAATATTCAGAACAGATTGTGTACATACTGTAGGAAATCTGGAACTATCCCAACACACTACAGAAGCGGTAACTCCGACTACCCTGTAAGCCGCAAGTCCCAAGCATGCCACCTCCGAAACTCCACGGGATCAAATCTGTACACTACTGAGCGCCGGCGTATCCCCTCTAGTCATCACGGGTTACTCGATTGCTACAATTTAGTACTATGCTTTAACATACCACAAAGCTTCAAGAACAAAGAAAATGTCTGTAAGGCTTCAACGTCTGCCATGAGGGAAGAAGACGATCAGATGCACCAACGTCCTTCACCGCTAAGAGTATGCTACCGCTGCTAATCGGTAGACTAAAACAGACACCACAACACTTCTTCACTCGAAGATACACAATCCTCCTGCCATACAACGCCTCCTGGCAACTAAACACAGTTTCCTCAATAAACGGAGAGAGGTTTGAAAAATATAAAATAGAATGAAATGAAGTTACATTAAATAAGCTTTTTGAGTAAAGGGAAGATGAAGGAAGGAAACGAAGAAGGGAAGAAAAAGAGGCAGATGCAGCAGCGTGTTTTAGCAGCCATTAAAACTTCATACATTTCAATCTCCAAAAGCAGCAGAATGGAAGATATCTCGGTACCTACCCACGATTGGGCTGAGAAGGAGAGTACGACGGCTCAGTACTAGAGTGCAAGCGCGAACATTTTTTGAGGCACCAGAGCTTGAAAGCCTTGAGGTGGGGCTTGGCGTGGTGGGAAAGCGAAGGCTGCTTTGCCACTTTCGCCACCTTCACGGTGTTGATACTACTCTCAGAGACTGTAATTCTACCCATCGTGACTACGATTTTCGTTAGATGGCAACACTGCAAATGGCGATTGACGAAGAAGAGTGCACGAGCATCTGCGAGAGCTCGATCATCCTCCGCGTCAATAGACGACTGCTAAGACAACGCATCTCCTCGGATAGTTTTATCACAGGGATGGGTGGCCGAGGCCCCAGCTGTCAATCGAAGACGCGCATGTATCGGTGCCTCTCTGGACCCCCCCAAGGGTGCCGCAATGTGCTTGAATCTTCGTCATCGAAATTCCCATGAGGACATACATTCATCCATGCGATGTGGCTAATAATAGCTAATCCGTTCTACCTGTCAGCCACATTGTGTTTCAGTCTCTACGTGAGAACCAGCAGTCATTTATCATGAGGCATCGCACGGATTCGAGCAAACAGTGAGAGTTTGGAATCGAGACAGCTCCTTTCTGCCCGGAACTGCAGCTTCTTTTCCCCCTTCACTGCAAAGCTTCAAAACTTGGCCGGAATCGGACGCGTCAGCGTGAATCTGAAAAGCTTACACAGGGCAATCTTTCACAAGTACGACCCACAAACTTGCAACATAACTTTTGGAGATTAAAAAGGAAAAAAGGATAGAGGCAACACTATTCCTCCCACTGACAGAATTTGCTGCATTCAGAAATGGTTTGTTGCATGGGGGTATCATGACGGTCATAGGGAAGAAGCAGCAGCTCTGGAGGCGCTTTCCAGTCGAAGATATGGATTTCGCATTTCTCATCCCACCCTCCCACCCATACCAGGCTGATATGCTTCGAGGGATCAAAAGGGGGCTAGAGTTTTGTGAAGAACGGGAGCCTTCCGGACACAATAGTAAGCGCGACGGTAAGCCAATTGCCAATACTATTCTATGGCAGCTCAAATCCCCATTGTCCTTAACGGCTCTGGGGCCCAGCTGCCACACTTCCCGGTTGGGGCCTGTGTGAAACACTAAAGATAGACAACAGAACTATCCAGGGGAAAAGAGAAGAATGACGCTTTTAGAAAGATTTAGCAAGACCTGCAGCATGGAAACCTAAGAATCGTGCACCGTTGAGAGGCTGCTTTTTTTGGGGGGGGGGGGATTACAGTGCTTTGCTTCTTCCAAGGTTTGTTTCACAATCAAAAACTAAAATAAGCAGTCAAATGAAAAAAATCCTACTTAGAGTGTTAAATTTGCATGTTTCTGTTTGTCCTTCATGTAATCCACACAGTCTGCATTGCAAAAACTGCAGCACAAGTGGCCCAGTCAACCATAGGGTGGTATTTTTATTAAGAACAAAAACACACCTGGGCAATTGCATGTGGACATGTGGAGTAATTTTTAGAAGATGTTGGAGCACAGGGATGTTTACATTGTGCATGCATGTGTGTTTATGAGTGCATGCTCATGTATATGGTGTGCACCCTATTGATAAATTCAAGGTTTGTATTACCATAATTTCCACTTTAAATGGTTAATCTGAGAGTATGTTTGATCCTTTTGGGAATTATTCTCTTCTTCTCAGACATTATAGTATATGTTTATTTTAAAGCCCCAAAAGAATGTTTCATTTTATTTATTCTTTTAATAATAAATGCAAACTGATTCACAACATTGTGTCCCTTGTTCATTTTGTAAGCAGTGGGTGCAGAATGATGGTACCATGTTGGTTTTCCAAACCTCTTGATGGTGCCTTATTTGTGAATAGATAAGAACCACAGTTGCTATTTAACAAATGCTTGTTTTAATTTCTTTCTTCTTTCCATTTTAAAACTCATACATGTAAAGCATAATCAACAGTATGTTCATGGTTGACATTGTTTGCTTCTCATGACTGAATCTATTAAAATTCTTCTATTGCAAGGAGCATTATACACGAAGTCTTCATTTAGGAATTCAACATTCTTTGGCTGAGTTCAAAGTCAAGCCCCATAATATTAATCTATCATTCATTTTGGGGATGTTTTTGGGACTGTTTTTGGGTAATGGTTTGCACAACTGCTGCAAAACCTATTCCCAAATAAAAACATGCATTCCTTATTTCTCATTTTATTATTGTTTGATTAAGGGTTTTCCAGACAGGATGAAGAAGGGCAAACCCTAATTGGGAAACCACCACTAAATTGAGAACAGTTGGTTCTAGCTGGCAGTGTGATGCAGAGGTTGCAGGAGGAAAGTAGGGGTCCCACCTGGTGCTTTACAAAGAGTCCATATTTTTAGCATGAGAATCTGCCTCCACTTGGGCAGTCTTTGGTAACCCCCCTCCATGGCCACCTTTCCCAGTCAATCATTGTGCCTGCCTCAAGCTTTTGATGCTCAAAAGTGGAGAGTTCGCCACACATCACCTGGGGCTAAAACTAGTAATGTGGACAAGAAAACATGAAGAGAAGTGCAGAAGTGCACAAGAGACTGCCCTTGTCCACCATTATACTTGGTTTAGTTAGAGCAAGTTTCCAATTTTCCTTGTCTTGTAGAAGCCACACCCTCAAAATGATCAATATTCTATGATACTTTACACATGTGTGTTACAAGTATGTAAATGCTTGGGATATATCTGATGCAATTACAAGCATATTAGTTTCTCTAATAAAATTTAACATCATTTATTTTTTTAATGGGTATTTTTTCAATGAATGCCAAATTTTCACCATTAGAAAGTACAATGATATGTCTAGACTTAAGTGAATACTCTAAGGGAGGAGGGATCTCGTATGGGAGCAACAAATATAAATACTCGTATATATAGTCGTAATTTTAAACTGGTGGAAATTTGTGATGTTGAAAGTGTAATTTACAATTGATATTCTCTCAGTCCATAAAGTGACAAACAACACACTGACTATGACTATTCCACAGTGCAATCAGCCAAGTGCTTCCATCCCCCAGCAGCATTATTGGTTGTCCACTCATTCCCATCAGCAATAGTGAAGGACAGAGCAGACCACACCCCCAATTGACAAGTGCTATTTTACAAGAATGTAAGGTGTGGGCATGAAACCCACCCTTGAAAAAAGGATTTATTTGTGGTAAGGACCCTCTTAGAAAAAGCTCATGTCCCCCTTATGCAGCTTTATGGAATATGAGTTTCTCAGTTTGGCTGAATGTGGTAGTCAAAGAACAATTATGCTGGTTTACTGTTCCATCTCCTTCTATTCCTCCTTTATCCCCTTCAATGTACATTATTTTAATTATTTTTATTGCAATAAATTCTTGTTTCTCCTTAAAATAGCAATATTAAGATAAAGGAGAATGTCATTTGTTTTGTGCTTTCATGGATTGAGATGAACTGGAGGACTCAGCACACATGGGCAACAACAATGGCACTGAATGCGAACCCTGCTGCTAACAAGGATGTACTTTCAGCCTCAACCCCCTCTCCAGGTATAGCAAGAACTATCCAAAAAGACTGGCCTGAGTTCAGAAAGGCGATCTACTTTAAGATTGAGCTCTTCCAACTCAATGCGTAGTTGGAGCCACAATCACAATCCACCTTGAGCAACCAGTCGTATGCCAAGTATTCTCCAACGCCTTCCTTTCTCAAGACATAACAAAACTTCTCGGGACTCATGCAGAATGTTGAATCAAGGCACTGTATGCCAATGATGAGTACCAAAAAAGTCACACATAATGTCCAGGGACTTAATGATAGGCATAAAACAAACAAGCTATAAAATTATATTCAAAGAATAGATGGGAGAACATACTTGATCATGATCCAAGAGCATAACTTTGGGGAGAAAGGATGCATGAATTTGACAAGTTATTATGGCCCCACTGTGGCCAATAGTTTATAGAAGCAGATCCTGGCTATAAAATAGATGGCTTGGAAGGTCCCAAAAGAGGTGGAGTTTGCACATTGATATCTGGTAAGGTCCCTTCATTTGTCACTAGAAGCTCTATTATTATCAAGAATTGAGGGCTTTGGATTTGATTTAGTGGTCTTCTAGGGGGTGATTTGAAAATTCTTAATTTGTATGCTCCAAATTGCTCCAATGAGTGAATCATGTTTTGGAATGAAATATCATGATCTTTATGACTGGACTGTTGTTGGCAATTTGGTGGTGATTTTAATATGGAAGAAAAAATATTTGATAAAACCTTCCATTGTAGTTGCATTTTGTTGACGGAGAAAAAACTTATGTGGAAATAACTCAAAAATCAATTTAACCTTACTAACCGCTTCTAGTTTGAAGATGAGCTATGTTTTTTCTAGGACAAAAAAATAAAAAAAATATGAGCAAAATTATGGCGAATCTAGACATATATTATAAGCTAGGATTAATATGTCGTAAGATTGTGAAAAAACAAATTTGATCAAGACTTCAATGAAAAGTCAAAGGTGATTTCATGACTACAAAGTTTTTATTTTTTTTGCAATTTATGAAAGACTTACTAGATCCAATATTACTAAAGTGCTGAAGGAATTAGGCACTAGTATCATAGGACAAGTTGCAATAATAGAGCAGTGCAAAGTTTACTTCTCCACATTATATTGTGGGGCGCCCTAAACAACGATAGAGATAGCAAGTAAATAGGAGATTGTAGAGGCTCTTTTAAACCAAAATTTCCTACTTTTGGCTAAGGAGTTAAAGAAACTCATGTCAATTGCAAAACTTCATTTGGCTATCAATTATATGGCTATAGAATGGGCTCATGGGCTTGATGGTATAATACTTTGATTTTACATAGATTGTTGGCAAATCATCGACTGAAATTTTGTACAAATGGTTATAATCAAAATTAATTAAGGGTCATTTCGAAAAAGTGTAACTAGAGTCCTTATTACTCTTATTCCAAAAAAAAGAAAAGGATAAATGTAACTTTGGTAATTAGAATCCAATTACCTTCCTTAATGTATTATACAAAATTTATGCAAAGACATTACAAAGGTGACTTTAAGATCATCTTAACAGCATTATATTTCATGATCAAAGTGTGTTTTTTTTTTTTTTCTTTTTTCTTTTTTCTTTTTTCTTAATT